CCAGCCAGCTGTCGCCGGCTGACCTCATCCCCCTGGAGGTCCCTGCTGGTGCCAGCGGGTCCCCGCATTGTGATCGGCAGGAGCGATTAGTAGTGGGACACAACGTCTGCTTTGACCGAGCCCACATCAGGGAGCAGTACCTGATCCAGGTAAGGTTTCTGGGCTACTGTGGGTTCCGACACGGAGCTGGGAACCTGGTCTGGGCTGAGGAAGGACTGCCTTCCTGGCCAATGTCTCCTCCCTTGGTGGCAGCCACGGGGCTCCCTGTTGGCTAGCCCTACTGCTGGTCTCCACGCCTAGCTATTCTGTGCTCAGAGCAGGGTCACAGTAATAATTGCCCTTGTGGTGTTTTAGGGCTCAGCCTGGGTCTTTGAAAGCTCTGAGCCATGGCCTGGCCTGTTTCTTTTTTTTGTAAAAAGAACAGAAACTACCTCACAGGATTAGTAGCAGGCTTTGGGAACATGCACATGTCAGGCACTCCAGACCAGCCTGGCATGTACTATAGCCATTATTAATTTCACAAGAAGTGTTTTTCCATGGTGTCTCCACGACAGCCTTAGGAGACAGGCAGGATGGGGGAGCAGTCTTTCCCTGTAGTTGAGGGTGCAGAGGCTCAGACAGCCTTGCCACCTTCACAAGGGCTGCAGAACTGGGGCCCAGACCCTATGGCTCGGAAGCTCTCATACCCACAGTGCTCCGAGCTGTTGCTGGAAGCTGGGAAGGACTTGCCTGTTGGGATTGAGCCAGGCCGGCACCTTTAGAGGTACCTTGGATTTAGGGGTGGAGCAGGCCTCTGCAGGTTAAGGGGCAACATACCGCTTCTGTATTTGTGCTGGGAGGGGAGGGGAGGCCATGAGAGGGGCTTGCACAGGGCTGGGGGCCCCTCACCTGTGGTCTCCCCTCATCCCCAGGGGTCCCGCATGCGCTTCCTGGACACCATGAGCTTGCACATGGCCATCTCTGGGCTGAGCAGCTTCCAGCGCAGTCTGTGGATGGCAGCCAAGCAGGGCAAGCACAAGGTCCGGCACTCCACGCCACGAGGCCAGAAGTCCCAAGGCAAAGCCAGAGGCCCAGCGGTGAGAGCACCCTGCGGTGGGCAGGCCCAGGGTGCCGGGGCCCTCTCCCCAGCTCGCCTGTCTGGCCCAAGGCCACTCTGACTTGCCTGTCTCTGCATGGCTCCTCAGATCTTGTCCTGGGACTGGCTGGACATCAGCAGTGTCAACAGTCTGGCAGAGGTGCACAAGCTCTATGTGGGGGGGCCTCCCTTAGAGAAGGAGCCCCGGGAGCTGTTCATCAGGGGTAGCATGAAGGACATCCGGGAGAACTTCCAGGTGTGCTGCTGGAGGGGCCCTGGCCGGGGGGCAGAAGCAGCCCTGTGGCTGGACTCAGGGCAGTGTGTGTCCAGGCCTGCTCTGGGACCTGGGGGTGGCACGGGCTGGCTGCTTGTCAGCTCCTCCCTGTCACTTGTGCCAGGACCTGATGCAGTATTGTGCCCAGGACGTGTGGGCCACCCAGGAGGTTTTCCAGCAG